TTACTGTAAGCTTTAAATCAGAAAACCCATGTGATTTGACAGAAACCTGTTTTCAAAACCTATTTTTTTTGGCAAAACCGAGGCACTGGCTGCTTCCGGGCCACCTTCAGCGATGGCCTTCGGAACTCTGTCCGCGCAGACTTGTTCTACGTGAAGCTCCGGATCGTCGAGGAGCTTCGGGGTTCAAGGAAGGAGTTCCAGATCTTCTTCTCTCCTTTTTGGGACGACCTTTTTCGTTTTGTCTTTTTAATTTACATATTTACTTTAAGATTGAAAGGTTCACTTCTTTTTTTAAACCTGGGGTGGGTAGGCTAGGCTGCTATTGGGTACTGAACACGCTCCTAGTAACAGGACGCAGGATAGAGACCATTGAGAATAAAGTAGTTGGAGGCCATCGCTTTGAGTAACAAAGGGCATCGCTACTATATAGGAGCAAGGACACTAGTAGTTATTAGCTCCTGGCTTTGCTACTAGGAACAAGAAAATGACTAGTAGCAAGAAGCTACTAGGTGGAGGCCATCGCTAGCCGGTTGAAGGCCATCGCTAGCAGTAAGGGAGTAAGCTAGTAGAAGAAAAGACACCACGAATCCTGTTGCTGTGGTTTTGGGGTGCACAGGCGGGGTCCTCAGCGCGGTTCTACATCGGCCACTTGGGCGACACACAAAAAACATGGCAAACTCTTAGACTCAAAAAACGGTCTTTGAAAAAGACCACCGAAAAGGTCTAAAGAGAAAAACGTCTACGGACCAAAAAAAAGACATGAGACTACATTCGAGGATAGCGTCAGGATTGTAGCCCAGCATTGACGACCGACCTTTGAGCGGGCAGAAGTCCAACCAATCAAAGAGAGCCCCAGATGTTTATTCTCTAGGACCCTAGGACCTTACCCTTTACTTTCATTCTCTTTTTCGTTCGTTTTTTCATCAACACTTAAAACCTTTAGAATCTTAGAATCAACGGATTTTGTTGAGAAGCCGACACCTCCACACATCTTCAACCACTTTTCTGTTCACTTCCGAGGCATCCGAGAGATTGCCGAGATGAAGGTTGGCACCGAGTCACTTGGGAGCGAAGATGTCTTTGTTCAGGAGCCCCTAGTAGCGATGCCCTTTGCTCCGTTCGTAGCGATGCCAGGAGCCCCGAACGTAGCTTCTTGTTACTACTAGTAAGGCACTGGTTACTAGTAGCGATGCACTTGTTCCTAGTAGATTCTTGTTCTAGTAGTAAGGCCAGGAGCCCCTAGTAGCGTCCTTGCTCCTATTTAATAGTTCTCGGGATGGAGAAAGAGAGCTGCACAGTTAACACTACTAGCTTACTCCCTTACTACGAGCGATGGCCTCCAACCTAATAGCGATGGCCTCCAACCTACTAACTACATGTTAACACTATTTCATGAAAAGGAAGACAGGTCTGTCCAGTGTAGTCTAAAGGTCTAAAATCGAATGACAACACCCAAAGTAGTTAAGAAGTTATGCTGCTTCGTCTTTCTTTTTCGTAGAACGCAGGGTTGTGAAAATTAAGACCTGAGGTCTTACAGTCTTACAGTATCAACAAATAGTAAGACTTAATGCAGTTCCTGTTTTGTGTTTAAATCTCGTTTTTTCTTCTGTTACATGTCGTGGTCACAGCACCTGTGTTGTTGAAACAAGATCAAAGGGTAGATCCCGACGATGTGCAGTGTCGATGCATCGCGGAATCTCTGTGTCCAGGCTGAAGATGGACCTAACAGCAAACTAAAGTGAAGCCTTTCTTCCTTTTCTTAGCGTCCTTGCTCGTAGAAGCGATGCCAGGAGCCCCTAGTAGCGTCCTTGCTCCTAGAAGCAATGCCAGGAGCCCCTAGTAGCGTCCTTGCTCCTAGAAGCGATGCCAGGAGCCCCTAGTAGCGTCCTTGCTCCTAGAAGCGATGCCAGGAGCCCCTAGTAGCGTCCTTGCTCCTAGAAGCCATGCCAGGAGCCCCTAGTAGCGTCCTTGCTCCTAGAAGCAATGCCAGGAGCCCCTAGTAGCGTCCTTGCTCCTAGTAGCAATGGCCTCCAGCGATGGCCTCCAGGCTGAAGACGATGGACCCGCTGAAACGCGCCCGTACCGGTCCAGTGACCTTCCAGCGGAAAGGCACTGCTGCACAGATGGAGGCACGACCAGGAATCAACCCCTTGGGAGCCGATTCTGTTGAAACTGTGAATCGAAGGCGATGGCCTCCGATGGCCTCCAACCTACTAGCGATGGCCTCCAACCTAAGAGTGATGGCCTCCAACCTAGTATTGGGCAAGTGCGAGAAACATGATCCAACAATTATAATAGAGATGAATCACGATTCGTGGTCTTCGACAATGTCATGCGGTGCTCAGAAAGAATGGGAAGCTCACTGGGAATATTCGTGTGCACTGTCCAACATCATCCCATACGAACCATGAAACCTTATTCTGATGTCCTCAACGGGACATGTGTTCCAAATCTGCCAGAGTCCTCAGCTGAACGGTCGCCAAAGGAAAAGAAGGAAGAACGAAAGGAGCGAAGGTCCAAAGAAAGAGAGGAAAATGACAAAACGGAAAGACGACAACAAGAAAGGTCCAACGGCTCAACAAAGATGATGCGAATCCAAATACTTAACGAGAATGCCTGTCATTGACCCATCAAGTTTCACCTGTCAGGCCCAAGACCTCGCGGCTCCCAAGTCGGAGGGCGGCCCTTCTCCGAGGCGCGGTGCAACAGCCGATATGAGTTCAGGCTACTAGTAGTAGTACCCTTGTTACACTTACTTGTTACTAGTAGCTTCCTGCTGCGATGCTCCAAACCGAATGTATTTTCGTACTAAGAACTCACACGAGTTACGACCATAAAGGCGCACCCGGGTGTCGCAGTTGGTCCCTCGGACTCGGGTGTCTCTCCACCGTGCTCAGGAGTGTCTCTCCGTCCCCCAGGAGCGGGAGGGTCTACCGGGAACAGATCCTATAGTAGTGTCCTTGCTCCTAGTAGCGATGACCTTGCTACTAGTAGCGTTTTTGTTCCTAGTATTTTTTCGAGCTATCGTGGTAACAGCAATTTGCATTAGAGTGGCTACAGAACGAGATATCCTTTTGGGATGCTTAGGATGTTCTGGCCTTCTGGATTTAGTTAAGCTTAGGAAATTGGGTCTTCTCGTACAACAAAGAGCTCACTATGCTTGAAAGCTTCACAGTCAACCGGCAAACCTTCGATTTGCGGGCCAAATATTTGAGTCTGAAAAAAGAACGAACGCGACAAATGGGAAGTAGCATCCTTCATACTAGACTATCGAAAGTTTGAACACCGAGAGGAGCAGCAAGCACCAAAATTCCGAGTACCCACTATATTAGGCTAAGACTAGTAATTACTTCCTTGAAGGAAGCACTCGGAAGTGGCGACGAGTAGACATTCGAGACTTGTTATGGTCCATTTTTCGATGGACTGTTTTGAGCCGAAGGAATCGAACGAACCGAGAAGCTGTGGTGAAACTTATGTAAGTCAACACAAAGATGCCCCCGAGGTAAAAGGTCGATTCAAGGAATATAGACCTCCCAAGCAAATTACCGTTTGAATTCAGCATCATTCTCAAAAGCCGTGAGTGTTCGAAGGAACAATGATGGGCTGAAGTACATGAACATGCGGAAGACCAGCGTTGATGCGATGGCCTTCGACTTGATGTGCCTGGTGGATGACTGGAACGTGCCTTGTCGGCATGGGACAGTTAGAAAGGAAGACAGGTCAAACACATGGGACCAACTAGAGTAGGAAGAGAAAGTATCTTTTAATGACCTGTAGCATAGATGAGAACAGTGTAAAACTCCTCAGCAATTCTGAAGATGTTCCATTCGGAATATCTCAGTTCTGTGGCCAGTGGTTGGGAACCACTATATATGAATCAGCGTGCAGCCTCCACTCTGGGTTTGCCTTTAACTCTAGACTACAGTTTGATCCACACTCTTGAGATGTACCAATTGCTTCTTGTTCCTCTTGATTTGTGGAGCAAACATTTCCCTGAGGTGTACTTCGAGTTGTCGAAGTTATAAACACTTTAAAGACTGAGGAAGGGAGTCAAGGATGGGCAAAGTCACCGGATGGTGGTTGGAAGGCAGGTAGGATCCCAACAGCAAAACGTATGTTAACAATTTGCAACACTCCTTTTCGATCACCTGCGGGCTTGTGTGATGCGGTTTTAACCACTGACCAGGCTTTTTAAATACTGTTGATACGAGAACACCATCTATCAAGGTAGCAGCAATCTTGTACACGGAGCCCTCAAACAAATCCAACCAAAAGGACCAACATCCACCATTGCTCCTTAGAATATCGGAAGATTCCTGAGTGGTTCCCAAACACATTCCAACTCGAAACAACCTGACGATCAACGCATGAATCATGTGCAAAGGCCCGGCCAGGCCTAGTCAGATCATTTCCACAACTCAAGGCACCGAGGACTCTGTGGAGATCGAGGAACGATGACTCTTTGCCGTCGTTCCGACAGCACGCCAGGTCCAGGTGCCTTCGGTGGCGTGCTGCAGCTCTCATGCCACCTTGCTCCACGCGCGGAAGGTCTTGAAGAGATTGGAGAAAGGCTGGACTGTAAGAATGAACAGGAAAACAAAAGAAGGAAACAAAGAACAGTCCAAAGGATTCAAAAGGTCTCAAGAACAAAAGAAAATCAACAAAGAACATGAAAGAGGGACACACATGAGAGACTGGAAGTTGGGTTGGGGTGGAACCAGGTTGGTGAAAAGGGCTGGAACTGCTTCTTCAACGTATCCACTATCCAATTAAATCGCAACGAACTTTCTCCTCGCTCTACCGGACTTCAAGTCATTTGCCCAACTTACAAAGGTAATCTGCACTTAGGAAGGAAGGAGGCAGCCCAAACTGACAAGTGTGTTTTCACAAGTGCCCAAGCCCGACCTTCCACCAAAGGTCCTCAACTAACATTTCCGTGAGAATTCGTGCGACTTCCATTGCCTGCCACTTTTTTAGCCCTGTGGTTCACAAGTTCTTCAGGGAATTTAGTTCTTCAGACATGAGCCAAAAAGATTTCTTTGAGGTACCGCGTGGGTCCGCCCGCGTTTGGACGCGCGCGTTGAAGCGGGAAAAAAAAACAGCAGGGCATTCCGGGCCCTGCGAGTTCAGTCGAAACACGCCAATCGCGGCTTCGGGGCTTCTCGGAAGTGCACGGAACACCGCGCCTGCCACATATTTCGCACGCCGTCAGGGCACTCCCACATGCTGGGTCAAGCAGTGGTTCCCCATGGAAAGAACGCTATCCGAGAGAGAGGTCCAGTAAAGGACGATGAGAATGCAGGTGGAACAAGTCACTTTTCCTTGCGCCAGTCATGTACACAATGGGAGAACGTCTGTTTTGACTGCGTGACAAAAATATATCCTATCCGCTGGAAGAGAGCCCATCTATCTTCCTGCTCAGGCGGGTTCAAGAACGCTGAAAACAGACCAAAAGCGAGCCTGATGTCGTAAATATTTATGGGGAGCAGCATGTTGCTGGGCGCGTTTTCACAGGCCTGCCAAGGTTGCAACCGTTGCGTGACTTCGCAAGCATTGGTCATCCACACATGTGAAGCCTCCGCAGCCAGGTCCTTGTTCGAAGCATGCACTGATCGAGCCAACGGGCATGCAACTTGGGCAAGATAAATCAAAGGGGGAAGATTCTCAGAAACAAAGGGCTTTGTGCTGGTTGCCTGCTTCTTTTTGTTCTCTCAAATCTCCAGCGCCCCAAGGGGTTGTCCCTCTTGCCGGTTGTCGCTGGTGCTACGCTCAAGCGCTTCCAAAATGCTTTCTCAGACCATAAATCATTTGATAGATTCTAAAGTCCGTCCTTGCAGAATGGTGAGACCACGGTTGAAGATCATGCAGTCCTGAACTTGTTCCAAGCTTGTAGGATTTCACACGAGGAGATTGTTATTGGTTACGTTTTGCCAGACTTAGGCAATGCATGCGCTGTGGGCGCTTGGACTATGACATGGATGCCTCAGACATGGCCGCTTTTTTGTTGGCCGACTGCGGCCATCGGGGATGTAGGGGATCTGGGTGAGGTTTTCTTTCCACATAAGTTCAGGACAGGGGGTTTCCGACTGGCGGAGATTTGCTTCCGGATTTGAGGGTTACGCGGTTACGCATATTTCTTGGGTGCGTAGTTCGTTTGATGTCTTAGCGATGTTCTACAATTGCCCTGTTCTGGGGGTGTTGATGGTCCCCCTTCTAGCCCGATAGTACTAAGAGGAGAACAAATGTTTGGCATGCCTACTAAACTCAAGCATAAGTAGAGAGAGAGAGAGAAGCGTGGTGGAACCTGATGGACCGTGTAAAACGTGGGGCTGATCAACCTCTAACCAAGCATGTCTGAGAAGGAGATGAAACAAAGAAGGCTGGTGCTTGGGGCTTAGGTTTCATTTTGTTGTTTCATTATTTTTGAGACATACCAAGGACATCGATTGTCCCGTGTGCGGCTGCTTCCAATTCTGGCCCTGCGGCGAGTACGCAGACCCGCGGACGAACTCCAGTGGAGTGGGCTCAAGCTCAGACCCTTCGAACCGGCGCCTAAACCAAAAGACTCGAGGCGGTGCGTGGGTACTGTAGCTAGCTGGAGCTTACTTTGCTTCACAACTCGATGCAGATTTCCATGTTGATTCAATCTGGGATGTGCAACTGAGCTCCAAGTCGAATCGTTCGATTTCGGTCAGTGAACGCCCAAGCGATCAATCAATGAATCAAGTGCGAGTCGCAGCCCGAACTGTTCCGGGGTGCTAGGCTTGAGCGTAGGAACACGAGCATGCATTTTGTTTGGATGACTCATGCACCAGTGAGCATGCATGAACACAATACGATGAATACCGAAAGGACTTGCTCAGGGACACAGAGTCCGAATCGCAGAAGCACCTGCCCCTTATCCAAGCTTTATCACAGAGCTTTTGTGCTGTAAGGTATATAAATGACAATGAATTGTTGTAGGTCGGACATGATGCGCTTCCAATGCCTTGTTTGCCCATAAACAGAACCAATGCATTTGCAGGCATTAGACATGTATTTTTTCCGCCAAACAAACATAGACGATGTTTGGCCCTTTGCCTTCACGAAACGATGGCCGGAGGCCATGGCCGAACCGGACTGTAGAGAGCTCTTTAGGAGACCCTGGTAGCGTCCTTGCTCCTAGTAGCGATGCCAGGAGCCCCTAGTAGCTTCTTGCTCCTAGAGCTTTATATAATTTGACTGCCACCTGGTGACCCTAGCGTGTGGACCATTGTGGACCTTTCTCGCTCCAGTTTCGGACATACGAGGCTACGCAAGCAACAAGGATTCCGTTTCATCGCTGCACCCACATTCCCAAGTAGAGCAGGAAAAAAGATATGTATATTATCTTAATCTCCAAAATTGACTTTAAAGAAGAAAAGAAGGAGAAAAGAAGCTACTAGGGGCTCCTGGGCTACTAGGAGCAAGGACGCTACTAGGAGCCTGAAGAAGGAAAGAAGCATTCCCGGCTGCACCTCTGGGGCGCCCAGGTCAGAAGAACGTGTCGGCCACCAGGAATCCTTGGACTCGTTGGGGAGTCCACTGCCCTCGCTGCTTGGACGCTATCGAATAGCTAGATTTGGACGTTTGCAAGTCTTTATTCTCCGAGGTTTCAGCAAATCTTCCTTGCTAGATTCAATTATGGTTCTTCAGACCCCTGCATGTTCCAATCCATCAAGAGAGCTGCTTCTTTGCGACAATCCCAAGTAGAGTAGTTTCGTGAAAAGGCAGCATCGGACGTTCTGTTTTCGGTCTTTGAGACGTGCTCGTTTCCTTTCTCAGGTATTCAACTCCCTGGCCTCCGCCTGGATCCTCCCAGAGGGATATCCAGGAGTTTTGGTATCCGGATCCTCCCAGGCACAGAGCGGAAAAGCCGGTCCTCGGGGGACCTCCCTTTCGACCTGCAAAGGCTCAGCCAAATCACCGCATCGAAGGTCTCTGAGGATCCCGGATTAAGACCCTTTGTTACTAGTAGCGTTCTTGGCCAGGAGCCCCTAGTAGCGTCCTTGGAAACTGAAATTTACACAGTATGACGTACTATTATAGGGATATGTGTGCGTCTAGACTCGAGGCGTTTTTGTCATGTACTGCACATGCAACTGCAAATGGTGCAAATGCTGGCGGCTTCAAATCATGGGAAACATCGTTGGATGGAATTGATGGATTTCCTGCAAAGCAGGTTGAAGATATGCGGCAGTTTTCAAACCTTGCAAAGCAAGGTCATCGCAGATCCAGAGAGAAATATACTACCAGGACCCTCCTTGGTACCTTGAAAGACGTGCGAAAGCATTCTGTTAGTTATGCTGCCTACTAGCAATGGCCTCCAACCTGCTAGCGATGACCTCAAACCCACTAGCAATGGCCTCCAACCCACTAGTCACTAGTGATGACCTCCAACCCACTAGCGATGGCCTCCAACCTACTAGCGATGGCCTCC